ACCAAGTTTCTTGTTTCTGTATAGAACACGTTTGACAGACATACATTATCTTTACCAAGTTTCTTGTTTCTGTATAGAACACGTTTGACAGACATACATTATCTTTACCAAGTTTCTTGTTTCTGTATAGAACACGTTTGACAGACTTACATTATCTTTACCAAGTTTCTTGTTTCTGTATAGAACACGTCTGATAGACTTACAGTATCTTTACCTAGTTTCTTGTTCTTGTATAGAACACGTTTGACAGACTTACACTATCTTTACCAAGTTTCTTGTTCTTGTATAGAACACGTCTGATAAACTTACACTATCTTTACCAAGTTTCTTGTTTTTGCACATGCCACTGTGTAAAGACTGATTTATTGCTTTGAATACATTTTTTTCTGTTTAAACGAAAGGAATTATAATATTATATTTGTTCTTTCAGCCTGCATACAACTCAGCTCTGGAGTGGTTGGTATCATTGGCTCGCTCTCGTTATCGTCTTCTTATCTCATTCAGTCGACGTCAACTTTTATGGAAATCCCTTATGTCCAGTTGCACTGGGATTACAAACTTGTTCCAAATACGTTTTCTTTGAACTTAGATCCCGGTTTATCTGCAATGAGTCAAGCTTTACGAGATCTCGTGGATACAAAAGACTGGTCCTCTTACACTATTGTGTATGAAAGCTATGAAGGTAGAGATGTTTATGGTATTATATAGGTATATCGTCTATAACAACACTAAACTACTGATAACACAGAATATTTAACTTACTGGCCAAATATATATATATATAATATGTTAACGATTCAAGTCCTAGCTATCTGTGCTGAGCTGATTTGAAAAGGCTTCTGTGTTTATTCATAGTACTACTGTTCTCCACATCTTAATACTGTCGTGATACAGCGATTATCAGAAAATTTGTCTGAAACTATGATAATTATAATCAGTTCCATGCCTCTGAGTGTGAGTATGAAACGGCTCATTTTTAGGTCTAAGTAACTTTACGTAACTTACTGCATTTAATGGCTACATCACTGAAACTAGCCTTTAATAACTCGTTACTAGCATTCACACTGATAATCACACTTTCAATTACTTTGTGGATCTCTTATTTTATGTCATTTACTACCATCTTTATTTTTAATTGCACTGTTTATAGTTTTGTATTGATGTTTTTTTTTATTTTAGAGATTGCGAAAAATAATGCAGCATGAGTCAATACTTCGTATAATGTATGTACCATAACACTCTTCGTCACACTATATAATGTTCATAATGTTTGTTACCATAACACTCTTCGTCACACTATATAATGTTCATAATGTATGTTACCATAACACCCTTCGTCATATTATATAATGTTCATAATGTATGTTACCATAACACTCTTCGTCATATTATATAATGTTCATAATGTATGTTACAATAACACTCTTCGTCACACTATATAATGTTCATAATGTATGTTACCATAACACTCTTCGTCATACTATATAATGTTCATAATGTATGTTACCATAACACCCTTCGTCATATTTTATAATGTCCATAATGTATGTAACCATAACACTCTTCGTCATACTATATAATGTTCATAATGTATGTTACCATAACACTCTTCGTCATATTATAAAATGTTCATAATGTATGTTACCATAACACTCTTCGTTATACTATATAATGTCCATAATGTATGTTAACATAACACTCTTCGTCATACTATATAATGTCCATAATGTATGTAACCATAACATTATTCGTCATATTATATAATGTTCATAATGTATGTTACCATAACACTCTTTGTTATACTATATAATGTCCATAATGTTTGTTACCATAACACTCTTCGTCATACTATATAATGTCCATAATGTATGTAACCATAACACTCTTCGTCATACTATATAATATTCATAATGTATGTTACCATAACACTCTTCGTCACACTATATAATGTTCATTTATACCGCTCCTGGAAGGGTAACATTTAATTTACGTTAGACCAAGACTAACACTCCTTGGATAATTATTAAACATGGTTACGTCAGATTAATTTAACGAAAATGGTGTTCACCATCTGTCTATCTCGATATGTACTTTAAATTGTTAAAACAACCTCAAAAACTGGTACCTTAAGTGAGAAGGTCCACCGAAGATTTACAAAATACACTTCAATCGACTTACAATATCATTTGACGGCGGAGCAGTGGTAAGTTTCAGAATTTTTAACATTAAATATCAGGGTTCGATAACTGCTGTAGACACATTGCAAATATCTTATGGGTGGCGATTCAGTTAAAAACAAATAATCAAACAAACGAGCAAAGAAACAAGCAATCAAGCATACAAATGTACAGGCAAAAAAGCAAAGAAACAAAAATAAACAAGCAAGCATACAAACAAACAAGTAAGCAAGCAAATAAATAAACAATCAAGCATACAAACAAACAAGCAAGCAAGCACCTAAATAGACAAACAAACAAGAAAGCAGATATACAAAGAAACAAGTAAGCAAGCACATAAATAAACAAACAAGCAAACAAAATAACATGAAAGCAGGCATACAAACAAAGAAACAAACAAGCAGATAAACAAACCGTTCTTAAAAACTATTTGCTCTAATACATATAAATCCAAACAAAATATTGAAAGAGTTATGAACATTGTAAGATGTATTGTCCATATAACCACTTCTATATATATATATATGTAATATAACCACACGTATATGTAATATAACCATATGTATATGTATATATTATAACCACATGTATAAACACATATTTAATACAGCCACGTGTATATATGTATATGTAATATAACCACATGCATATATATATATATGTAATATAACCGCATGTATATAAGTATATGTAATATAAAACACTCTTCTTACGTTTCACACCTAGAAAGGATAGAACAGTTATAAAACACCCTTTTTACATTTCAACCTAGAAAGGATAGAAGAGTTATAAAACACCCTTCTTACGTTTCACACCTAGAAAGGATAGAACAGTTATAAAACACCCTTTTTACATTTCAACCTAGAAAGGATAGAAGAGTTATAAAACACCTTTCTTACGTTTCACACACAGAAAGGATAGAACAGTTATAAAACACCCTTTTTGCGTTTCAAGCTAGAAAGGATAGAAGAGTTATAAAACACCCTTCTTACGTTTCACACCTAGAAAGGATAGAACAGTTATAAAACACCCTTTTTACATTTCAACCTAGAAAGGATAGAAGAGTTATAAAACACCTTTCTTACGTTTCACACAAAGAAAGGATAGAACAGTTATAAAACACCCTTTTTGCGTTTCAACCTAGAAAGGATAGAACA